TTGAGCTGAAACACATCTAATTGAAATAAATAAAACCAGCACTATGATCAAAAGCAAAGTAAAATGCTTCTTTTTCATCATTATAAAACTAATTGACATAATGTTTATTCTTTTTTTGTAATAAAAATTTGATGACTATTTTTCTTTTGTACAAACGAATTTTTAAATCAATGTTTATTTACAAGAATTTTTTTTTTTAAAAGCAAAAATAAGTATTACTCGATTTGTGATGTTATGTTTTAAAAAAGGATTCTATGACTCTTTCTCAGATAGCTAAGTAATTGAATAGAATTTTTATATTAACGAGTCAAAATGGCAAAGAAATCAAATTTAGTAATTCATTCCGATTACTTGAGAATAAATAACTTTTATTCTACATTTTTGCCTAAACCTTGTGTTACGTGATAAATACGAAATCAATAAAAAAAGGTTTAGTTGATTCTCTTTATTCTTCCATTAAAAGATAGTTCTAAAAATTAAATATAATATCAAATGTTATCTAAAAAAAAATATATAAATTTGATCAGTGCCGAGGTAGGATGTTGTCTAAAATTATCTTTTAAAAGTATAATAGGCAAGCAGGCAAGCGAACTTCATGATTCCTATTGTAATAGTAGGGTTGCATGAATGATGTATGCAGGTCTATGAGAAATGAGGCTGTACATGTACATTTTGGTCATTTAATAATTTAACAAGTTGTCATATAATTTTTCTTGATGTTCAAGTTCCTTTATATTGAATTTATTAGTAAGTAAATTTTCAAAAACATTTGTTTTTCGTATTTGATTTATTATTTAATAATAAATTTTTATAATTATTTACTGCGTATGATATGTTGAGAAGGTAATAGGTAATAGGTGGTTTTCACATAATTTATAATAATCCTAACCCTTTCATTTAGTCATATGATAAAAAACTTAGTAATTCAACATGAAATTTTCATATCAGATTACTTTATTTAATAAAATTGAAATTTTTTTCACTTTCTTACATCAACTTTTACTTTTGTTTTTTTTATCAAAGCTTTAATTACTAAAGAACAAATGCTTCATTATTTTTTAATACTTCACATACCAAGTCAAAAAACGTATTTTTATCTTGCGATGGAGTACATTATTCAAGTGAATGTACATACTACATCTATTCTTCGTCCCCCCGATGATCCAGGAGTAACCTTTTTTGATGTGTGCATAGCACAAGGACAAATCACAAAAGAGAAATTAGTTACGGCATATCCCGTCTGATCTATCTTTAGACTCTTTAGACCTCCATGAAGGATATCTAAAATAATTTAAAAATAAATTGTATCTATTTTAACTCCATTCCGTTCCATAAACATGAAAATTCACGTCGAGGGGTTGTTACTAAATATTTAGGAGCCACCTTCGACAAGTCATAACCCTGATTCCTTAGAAACACCAGAATGTGGCTTTACAATCGAAGTCCAGAAGAACGTATCAAATTCTTTCGAATAATTTCGTCAAAACAACAAGAACGAGATCAACTCAAGAAGAATTGTGATATGTTTGGTATTACATAATTATCTTCAATAAGAATTATGCGAGATATGTTTGGTATTACCTACTGTACATAATTATCTACGATAAGAAACATGTGAGATATGTTTGGTATTACATCGGATTAATTAATGTGACATGTTCTTACTAGGTTTTCTCGAAAACCATGTGACACAACGCATTTTAGAAATATAAATCTGTACCCTAAATTTAACTATACTATTTTTTGGGGGGGGGGGGGAGAGACCGTCGGGTAAATTGTCAATAGTATACAAATGTTTGCAAGGCAATTCTTTTTACTTTTGAGACCAAATCAATGACGCCAATTATATCATTCTTTATTCATCAGAGAAATAATGAGAAAATTCAATCGGAAACTTGATGACGCATATCTTTTAGAACAATAAGACTTTCCGGAACATTTTTTCATGTTGTACTGATTCTACCTTAGAGCATCTCAAAATTACAAAATAATATCTAAGAACTACATCATAATACATGGTTATATATTTTTCCATTATATAACCTGTAAAATATATAAAATTGGGTTCAGATAACTTTCATGATGAAAAAAGCAGAATTTTCTTTGTAAACTATAATTACTTTCATGTGATATCCCATGCAAAACGATCTATTTTACAAGTTTTGATTGTTTCTATTGTGGTCTTTCGTTTCACGTGTTTATAATTGATTAGTTTTGAATCTCGAAAGTCATCATATTGTAAATGCTATTAAAAGAAATAATAAATAAGATAAAGTAGTTTTTAAAAAAATATTTCTTTATTGTTTAAAGATTATAGCATTAATAAAACTTATTTTTTGGTAAATGCAAAAACGTTATACTTTACTCTATATCCAATTTTGCCTAACTTACTAATGATAATTAATAATAATTCATATAATTTAATTGATTGAATTGGAGTATTTGAATTGATAAAATGTCGAGAAAAAAAAAAATTCGTTTTTTTTTAAAGAAATTGTTTACATGAATAACGATCGATGACCAAGCTTTCTTTGGTTTTTTTTTGTGTGATTCTGATAGATAAAAAATTTAAACAATTGTAATGAATATAAATAACACGTAAATACTAAATTACCTTTTACATTATATTCCGGTAATCTTGTTATACATATTAGGTTAGAATATTGCGTTAATGAAATATTATAATAAAAAATAAAATTTTGAAAATTTACTCATTGTCTTATTTAGTTACATTCTTAATTGAATCATTGTTCAAAAAAGATATACATACAGATTTTTGAGAATGGGTGCATTCACATAGGGTTTGGATTGGATTGGTTTAGGTTACCCAAATCATGTTCACATAAAATAGATTGGATTGGTTAATCCAAAATTCAATTTGGGTTGAATTATTAATAATAAAATTCCAATCTACTTCGTGACAAAATTCATATCTTGTGAACTATCTCACAAGTAATCCATATTATGTGAACAGGATTGGATTACTATTTGGATTCAGTAGATCATATTCAACCCAGGTTGAATGTTAGATTAATCCAATCCAAATCCAAATCTCTATGTGAATGCACTCAATAATTATGTTGTTAAATTCTGATTTAAGCTGCGACAGTTACGACCTCAATGAGGTCTCTTGCTTAAGAGAAATGACATGAATAAGAAAAGAAGCTTGAAATTATGCATAATTAAAAGCTCTTCATATAAATCCCAATTACTTACCTAGTTTTTCATGATTTTTCATAGTTCTCTTCAACTAATTCCATAATTCCTTCTGCTGTACTTGGTTTGAATTCGTAAAGGCCAGGTTTACGAGTTAATTTCTCTTCAGTTAAACAGAGAAAATCTCTATCAAAAGATCTTGCTTCTAGATTTTTAATATCAGTTTCATTAAAATCCGAATCTTTCACGCGAGATTTAAGGAATTTTTTTACATGGTCTGGAGACCATCGCTGAGACATTTTATTGTCATATACAGATTCTGTTGCATTCTTTCTCTTTTTATTATGTTCAGGCTCGTCAGACTCTTCAGGCTCATATGACTTCCGCTTCAAAGCTATTATTTAGTACATTTATAAAAATGTAAATTAACGTTTGAAAACTTTATATAAATAATTTTGAAGTTTCACATACATGTTTTCTTCGGAAATTCGGCTGCCAACTGCTCTGATTACTGCACGTATTCCTGTAGCTAGGATTTACACTAATCACATTCAGTGTGAGGAAAGGTTAAATCGGGATTTTTGGCATAGAAATAAAATCCAAGGCGTTTACGTAATTATTAATTCGATTTCAACAACCAGCTTTCATTTTTTAAATTTCTTTGAATGAAAAAAAAAATATAGCAAGTATTACAAATCATTATATCATAATTGATGAATAGTAACTGATAGCAAAAATGCATTTCTGCCGTCTGTCCACACAATTTTCCTTGCGCGACAAGGTCGCTCATTCGCACTGCAGGACAGTTAAGAACAATGTCAACAGAACAACCAGTAACGTATACTACAGACGTAGTGCAATATACTTCCCACTTCAGGCAAAACGCAATTTGCCTTGTGCGACAGGGTCGCTCATTCGCATTGCAGGGAAAGGTATCATTTGTTCCTGACATAAATGAGAATCTAACTAGGAACACAGAAAAAATACTACCGTTAAAGATCTTTTCAAATCTTCTGCCCCTGTAATATTCCCGATTTTTGGTGGAAGTAATTTAAGATAACTCTATTCATATGAAAGAGATCGAATGCGCATGCGCTTTGAAAGCTCCAGGTAC